GGGACCATTCTATGGCTGTGTCTATGACTTATAAAATATTTTATTTGTACTTAAATTTAAGATAGCATATTGAAGTTAACAAGTTCTGTACTGAGAAATATAATGTGTAACCACCATCAATATCACACCTGAAATGTAGTAAGATTATCATTCAGAGAAAAGAAAAACATAAATGGTTATAACTTCTATTAAATATATATATAAAGTCAGTTAAAAGTTTCCAACACACATAATTTTAGCTTTTAAATAGTATATGCCTATAATTCCAGCTATCTGGGAGACTAAGACAAGAAAATCACAGTTTTGCAGCCAGCCTGCTCAACTTGGTGAGAACTTGTCTCAAAATTTAAAAATTCATATATGGGGTCAATCTCCACTAGTATTAAAAAAAAAGAGCAATTTTATTTACTTTGAGACTCTCTTTGCAAAGTTATTTGTGGGCTGGGAATCTAGCTCAGGGGTTCTACTGCCTGCTTTCCAAGTGCAAGTCCTGAGTTTGATCCCCGGTACCAAAAAAAAAAAAGTTATTTGTGCTATTCTTTTTTCTTACTCATAATCTCACAATTAACTCATAATTAACAACATGTTAATTTCCATAGAGGAGATATTTACACACATATGTATTCCATTACAAAGATTATGTCACTCATTATAAGATGTTGGATATAAATAGTAAGCATTCTTTCACAAGTTTCATGAACTTAGCTGCAGGTATTCATAACCATAAACTTTTCAAGATTTGCTGAAATTTACAAGTACAAAAGTGAAAATTTTTTAGGTTTAAAGTATTTGTTAATTTGAATAAACTAAACTGAATTAATCAAAACACTGCTTTGCAAAGTAAAAAAGGAATACTAAAGACATACAAGATAATCAATAATTCTTTTTCTAAGATCTATTTCAACAAATTTTAAACTACTTCTTAACTATCCTGAAGATAGTTTAAAGAGAACATTAGCTATGTGTATGGAGAGGTACTTTAATTTAAAAGAGAGTGTGGTGGCACATGCCTGTAATCCTGGCTATTCCAGAGGCTGAGGTGGGAGGACTGCAAAGTTTATCCTCGGTGTTTTACTGAGATAGTGCCTCAAAATAAATTTTAACAAGGCCTAGGAATGTAGTTCCACGGTAGAGTATGAGCCTGGTATATAGGATGCCTAGGGGTCAATCCCAAACACCATAAACAAAATAATAATAATAGTAATAATAAACAGTGATGACAATAAAATAAAGATTAGTATACCAATCTTATTTGTAAAGAGAAAGAAAGCCATCACTAAAACAGGATATTCTTAGTCCCTTAATACAAGCTTTGCTTCCTACTAAATTTACAAAAATACAACTAACAATTTTTACAGAAAAAAAATTTGGGGAGGCTTTTTTTTTTTTGGCACCAGGGATCCAACTCAGGTCCTTGCACTTGCAAAGGAGGTGCCAGAACCACTGAGCTAAATCCTCAGCCCCCAGAAAAATATTTTTATTTATAAATTTAACACCGAAAACTCAACTTTAAAAAGCACTAACTCAATGTACTCCTTATACTACAAAATTAGTTTATTCTGAAAGGTCTATGTACCAAAATTAAATTAATACTTTGTCATGATTCCAGAGAGGCATTACTCTATGTGGGTTGCAGATGTAAAAACAAGTAAACAAAGTAATACAACTTCAGCCCTTAATAGTTACTGCATTTGTATCAGAATACTACATTAAATGTCAATAGTTTGGCAAACCTATTTGGTCAAGGCACTAAAACATTAATAATTATATTTTAACACTTTCCAAAGAGAACACCAATTTTCTTTATGTTCAGAAAACCACATTTCTGCAGAAAAAATTAAGCCAAAACAAATATTTCATATCCTTGAAATCATAAACTTTCAAAACTTAAACACTTTACTTACAAAACTGGTCTATCTTAGGACAAGTGTGGTGGCACGTGCCTATAATCCCTCAATTCATAAGAATGAGGCAGAAGGATCATCATGAGTTTGCAAGCAGCCTAAACTACCTAGAGAGTTCAAAGCCAGCCTGAACTACATAAGTAAGACGCTGTCTTCAAAACAAAAACAAAAACCTGAATAGAATAAAAAAAAAATCAATTGATAAATTGAACCAAGCAATGTCATATAGTAGTGATTTTGGTATCTATCATTGCTCATACTTTCTACCATTCTGTTAAAAAACAAAAATTACTTGGGGCCAGGGATTTATCTCAGTGGTTCCACTGCCTGCCTTGCAAGCTCAAGGTCCAAGTTTGATCCCCGGTGCCAAAAAGAAAAAAAAGAAGCAAAAATTAATCAATATACTTACTATTTTTCTGCCTAAAAAAAAGGTCTCAGAATATTAATTTCCTTGTTTCCACATGTGGCACCTTGGTTCACAAACAGTTCTTTCCACAATTCTTTCTAGTCATAAACCAAATTGTAAAAGAACCAAATCAAATTCAATGGTTAGGATCAATGTTAACTTTATAGGGAAATTTGATTCGGTTCTCATCTGATTTGGTCTGCAACCAAAATTGCAGAAAAGAAATAAGTTTGTAACCAAGGCACCATTATATGCTTTTTAGAATAAAACATTTAAAAAATTAATTGGTAATTAATGATCTCTGAATATCGATAATTTAATATTCAAAAGTACTAGGAAATGGCCGGGCGTGGTGGCACATGTCTGTAATCCCAGCACTCAGGAGGCTGAGGCAGGAGGATCGCTGTGAGTTCGAGACCAGCTTGGGCTACATAGTGAGTTCCAGGTCAGTGTCAAAAAACCAAAAAAAAAAGTACTAGCAAATGAAGATGAAACTGCAATAAGATCTAGAAATTTATTTTAGACTTACTAACATAAACATATTTCCTTATAATCTGTTTCTCCCAAAAGCAATCATTCTACTTCTTCAAAATAAATTTGTTATTCAAAAGACTACAGATTTATAGTATTATTACTCCTAAATGAAGTTTTATAAACAGAGGGAAAAGAACACATAGTATATCTAATAGCTGTGTCATTTGTGCTCAAATTCAATCCTTTTGTATGATTTTAAAACTGTGCAAACTTACATAATAAACCACTGGGAAAAACAAGTTCAAATACCAAAAGCATTATTCTAGAAGAAAAATATATAAAAATATTGGATGAAGATGTGTCTGTATAAACACACACACACACACACACACACACACACACACAATGAGTTAGTATGCTCTACTTCCTATTTAGTTAAGATGAACAAATACATACAAACATCACATATGCTAAACAAGATAAAGCAAGGTAATATGTAAATAGCACTGAATAGTACACATAAATAGATATCACACTCTTATTTTACTAAAGGCAATATAACAGACTTTGTGGAAAGTACTATATCTAGTTTTCATCCTCACAACTTCAAAAGTAATACAAAGATTTTGAAGAACCTTTAAAATTCAAAATAGCAAAAGGTTTAAAAAAATATATGAAGAACGATTACAGGATTCAGAATAGGCATTATTTGAGACAGGGTCTCCCTATGTAGTTCACAGTGGCCTTGAACCATGCATGTAATACAGGCTAACCTCAAACTCACAACAAAAATATTTCTTTAGTCTTTGATTTGTTCTTTTTATTAGGAAAAAAATCCAGCTAATTATAAAGTGATTTAAAAAAAAATTAATCATTATGATCCTTTATATATTTTAACAGCTATTTCATGATCCTTAAACTTTCTCCTAAAATAGACCATTCTGGCCAGGTGTGGTGGTATATTCCTGTAATCCCAGCAATGGGAGGTTGAGGCAGGAGGATCACCACAAGTTCGAAGCAAGCTTGGGCCACATAGTGAGTTTAAGCCAACCTGAACTATATAGAAAAACCCTCTCAAAAAAACTAAAAAAACAAAGTCCACAAAAACAGCTTAAGTAAAGGAACATAATATAATAAAACTATACAGTGAAAAAAACAGACACTATCGAAAAGCACTATATAGAAGAACTGTATCGAAGAAATTTTCTTATGATCAATGCTAAGCAACTGTCCAAAATACTTTTAATATTAGAATTATATGGCAGCCACTGGGCATGGTTACACACACCTGTAATCCCAGCACCCAGGAGGCAAGAGAGGGGGATCGCCATGAGTTCAAGGTCAGTCTGGCTTATAAAGTGACTTCAAGGAAAACCTGAATTACACAGCAAGACCCTGTCTAACAACAACAACACAAAAAAAAACCCTTCAGTAAATTGAACAAAGTGAAACACGAGAATCGCCTGAGGAGTTCTGTTCTCACTATGTAGTGACTTGCCTCTGTATCCCTTCTAAAACTGGCAAGGGTAGAGATAATAAGAAGGATTAAGAAGGATGAAGAATATATATATTACGTTATAAACATCCATATATAATGTATACTATGAAGAAAATTCCCCAGGTGATTTGTACATCTATTGTCTAGCATTTGCTGGAGAATTCTGTTTACATGTAAATGATGTGCTATTATGGCCTAGAAACAATTTTGTCACACAAATAAGCTGAAATATAATTTTACCTGTATTAGTGGGAGAGTCAACTGAGATACCCTGTAATAAGCTACTATGTCTTCCATATTTAAGTTAGTGAAGGAAAAATATCAAAGTTCCATGAAAAGTTATACTCAGGTATGAACTATAAAAAATTGTTCAATATTATTGATAAAATTAGCTTAAAATCCAATTATAGAAAAAAAACCTTGGTTCCCATCCACTCTACTACTCAAGGGTTTTCATAATAATCAAAAGTTTTACCACAAAAGATTATAAAAGCATTTAAAATACAATTTTATACAATTTTATTTGTACTTTAGAACTTAAACAACTTGCTGGGAACAACCTTAGTGAGGCAATGTAGTCGTTTTTATTTGAAACTAAACTTTGAGACAGGCTCACTATCTTTTTCAAGAGTAAGCAACAAATGTTAGCTGAAAATAGCCAACTTAACGATAATTTGTAACACAGACTTCATTATGTGAGCCTACAAAGCCTCCCCACCTCTGGCTTCCCTGTGGAGGAGGGAGTCTTTGTGTGCTTTTCTGTGTAGGTTCCACTGAATTCATTACAATAGAGATGGACATTTGATATTCATAACGATCCAACATTTGAGCAATCTTCTTTCGAGACACACCATGTTTATTCCGCCTACCAAAAAAGAAAGAGATTTTAAATATTTTTTTCTTTTGGGATGTATAGACTTAGAGATTAAATTATTTTAGAGGAGCAGGCTACTGATTCTAAATTATATTGTGCAAATATCATTACAAAATTTAATTTACATATTATACAAAGACACTCAGATTTGCTGCCTAACTGCAAAATGTTAATTGATTATGCCTTCTTCACAAGAGCTATTCACTGAACCTACTGAGCACATTCACTTCTAATTAAAAAAAATAAAACATTATTAAAAAAATTAAAAATGAAGAGATAATTTTTTGAGAATTGCATAGGAATTGAATAGACACTTAGGACCTGCAAAAAACAAGGTAAAATATTACATTTTAGAAGTTATTTTAGTATAGTTTATGTTAAATTTAAACAATTTATTGTTTTCAATATCAAATTATTATTGGACACACTACAATTTGGACATCTCTCACAATTTTGAACACATAATTAATATATAATGTATGACTATATGTACATATAAAAGTTTGAAAAAAGGCAAAATTAAATTATGATAGTAAGGCAGAAGCTGTTGTGATAAAACTTAAAGAAAAGTAAGAGAGAGACCACATTTACCAAGTCAAAACAGTGATTAGCTTTACAGGATTAAAAAAAAACTGGGAAGAGGAACATGAAGAGTTTCTGAGGTACTAAAAATGTTCTCATAAAAAGTGTATAATTGCGGTATATGAACTTTTTTCATCTGTGCATGTATATTTTATGGACTTCTCTGTATATGAGTACATACATATACTTTTTTGTATTTGAGTTATGACAACAAATAGTTATTTAAAAATTATATGTTATTTAAAAAGAATTGGACGATTTATTTTACCCGCATAGTTTTCTATAACTTGACATGCAAAACACAAGAAGATATTTTATACTTAAACTACAGTTCTCAATTTACAATGCCAACTAATTTTTCCTGAAAAGGGAGCACAAGCCAAGGATATAGCTCAGTGGTGCTACTGCCTGTCTTGCAAGACCAAGGTCCCAAGTTTGATCCAAGGTACCAAATAAATAAAATAAAAAGGGACCACAAAAGAAACATTAATTTTTCAAATGATGTTTCACTCATGATAAAGAAATTAAAAATTCCCTCAAATATAAATTAAGCCATAACTGTACATAATTTAATCATTTATTTATCCATCATGATGCTATTAACTTTAGTTTTTAAATTTCTGTCTTTTCCACCTCAAGTGTGATGCACTAGTAAAGCAGGCAAATAATATCAGATGTTAATATATATATATATATATAGATAGATAGATAGATAGATAGATAGATAGATATACCAATATATAAACATATACAAATCAGACAGAGAAAGAAAACAGCCAAAGGAATGAAAGGCAAGGGGGAAAGAAATTAGCTGGAGCCCATATACAGAATATTTGCCTAAAGACTGGGGTATTGCTTAGTGGCAGAGTATGTGCTTAGCATCTATAAGGTCCTGGGTTCAATCCCTAGCACCAAGGTGGGGGAATAAAAAAAGAACAGCTTGAAGCTAGAAGAGGTCAAGCTAAGATAGAAGTAAAAATTGTTTAAAAACAAAATGTAGGACCAGGGATTTAGCTCAGTGGTTCCGCCAGCTTGCCTTGCAAGCACAAGGACCCGAGTTCAATCCCCGGTACCAAAAACAAAAAAAAAAAACACAAAAAGTAGGGGCCGGGATATTCAGCTCAGTTGTTCTTCTACCTTCCTCGCAAGTGCAAGGTCCCAAATTCGATACACGGAATAAAAAATAAATAAATAAATAACAAAAATAAAACAAGTAGTAATGGCTGCACAAATCTGTGAATATTCTGAAAACCACTGAATTGCATTCTTTAAATGAGTGAACTATACAGTATATTACAAATTACACCACAATAAAGCTATTATGGTGGGGGAATGAAGAAGAAAAGACAGCACAGCAATGAATGAGGGAAGAAGGAGAAAAGTAAACAACACAGAGACAATCTGGACTGAAAAAGTACTAGAAGTTCATAAACTCTCACCATAAATTGTGAAATCTACTAAACTAAAAACTGTTTTCTGTTAATTCACATGTCAAGAAACCTACCTAGGTTTGTACTCATCTGACAGCATAATTTACTCAAAATTAACATTATATTGTATAGAATCTTTCTTATTTACTTAGACTGAATAGTCACTATTTGCTACAGAAATACTAAGATGTTCAACTGTGACACCCTGCCCCAAACTCTGGCAGGAGGGTTACAACTATATTAAATACACTATGTTACTCCTTCCTAAAACCCAAAGAATCTGAAATCCAAAAACACTGATTCTAAGGATCTTGGAATGGGATTATGGATCTGTAGTAGTAAAAATGGAAAAATAGGAGCAGATGAAAGCATAAGGTAAAAAAGTGATGATGTGCCTGAAGCAGGAGGGAGATGAAAGTGGATGGAAAATGCAACAAGTGGCTTAGCTAAAAATAGCCAAAGGGAAAAGTTCTGATTTTACCCTTAAAAGCTGCTTCTACCTACATTCAATAACTATGAAATGTCAAACACATTAAAAATAAGAAACATATTTAACAAGGAAAATTTAATAAAATTTAACAAAGTAAGACACCTAAAAAACTTCTAAGTCAATGTTCTTTTTAATAGAAAATAAGAAACTATAGGCTATACACAAGTAACAAATATGACAAACAAAGCTAGGAAAGAAATTAATCATGCAAAGGTAAAACCAAAGGGGAAAAGGGAAAGATTCAATAAAAAAAAAAATCAATTGCCTTACTTTTCTAATTCTTCAGGATCAAATTTCCACCAAGTTTCAGGTTCATGAAACTCTACTCTGTATCCTTTTCCTATGGCCTACACAAAGGAAAGGCAGAAAACAAAAACCCAGACAATCGTTCTCAAAGTAAAAAGAAGGCAGACACATAATTTCATTTAGACAATATTTCTAAATGTCCTCAACCAAGAAAAATTCTACTTTAAAAATAATATAATTTATGAAAATTTTAAGGCTGCATAACTAGCTAAATACCAATTATTATTAAGTCCACGAAGAAATAAAATAAGCATATTCCTTAATATGCACAATTCTTAAATGAAAAAACAAGAAATTTCTTTAGAACAAAGGCAAATGTTTTAATAAAGATAAATTAGACCAAAACATCAGAATATAAAAAAAATTGACAAGTATAAAAAGTAGATTCATATTTACCATTTCCACATACGGTTTCATTTCCCAAGCTTGTGTATTAGTGTTGTCTATTATAACTGGAGACCTCCCCTGATCAATAGCTTGTTTTGCTGAAATTTAAAGAATTAAAACTTAAAAAATAGAACTATTAAAATACACAAAATAAAGTTCAAATGTTTATTAAGAATTATTCTACATTTCTGTATTTAAAAGCAAAACGACAGTCTCTTGAAACAATGCCAAAAAAATAAGGACTTCAGTAGATTAAAAGAGAATTAACAGGGGCCAGGGATTTAGTTCAATGGTTCCGCCACCTGCCTTGCAAGCACAAGGTCCTGACTTCGGTTCCCAGTACCACCCCCCAAAAAAAAAGAGGAAGGAAGGAAGG